AATTCTATACTACGTAAGGGGAAAGGATCACAAGGAGTAAGAGAAAATATTAAATACCCCCATCACAGCAAACCTGCAGACCTAGCGAATTCTGTTTTAGTTACTTGATTTTCAATTAAATCTAAAATAGCATTGCGTTTAACGATTACCTAGGTTTGCTGCTACAAGGAGGCTAATAAAGTGTGTTTATAGTAAAATATTAATAGCCTAGTATAAAACAAATAAATTTGACAAGTTTGATCAAAATATATATATTAACAAACTAACAAAATCATTTTACACTATTCTACATAAGAAACATAGGAATTTTAAATTTACAATTTTAGTATTTTTATCCGTAACTAATGACCATACAAAAACACGTTAATATACTAAATTATTTGTGTTTAAGCTACTTAAAATTTTCTAGAGAAAAATTGGGAAACTTTGTGTTTTGAGGGTAAAGTAAATAATTAAAGCCTTTAACTCTTTGAAATGCTCTAGAGAAAAATTGGGAAACTTTATCTTTTGAGGGTCAAAGATTACAAATTTTTACCACTTAAAACCCTGTTCCATGGACCGATTATGCCGGTTTCGTTAAAATTGAACCAAAATTACTTGAGTTATCATGTTTCCGGACACGTATATAACATGGATATATTTTATTATATACAGGGTGATCAACTCAAGGAGGCCACCATTGGGATATCGGAAACGGTAAGAATTAGAGAAAACTTTAAATGGGGGACATTCCTTTATTTTTTGTAGCAGATAAAAATATGATTTTAGCTTTTTGAAATTCAGCCGCCATTTTTCAAAATGGCGGCCAACTTTGAAATTTCTTAAGGAACACCCTGTATTTTATCACGTTTTCGGATAGAACATGCAATTTAAAAACTTTTTTATTCTTGACTTTTCTTCGATAAACCTACTCGTTTAGGAGTTACAGCCTATGGAAAATTCTGTAATTTAAAAATTGGCGGCCATTTTCCAAAATGGCAGCAAACTTGAAAAGTGGAAAACTGTGTATTTTATGGTATTTGTTTATATTTGTTTAGAGTCCACATTTAGTGATTACATACATAAAATATTTTATGTAACCGATAATTTCGGACGTTTTCCATCGTTTTCCATTTTTAATAACTTGTTATCTAGCTAAAATAAATGGTTATTTTTTTTGTTTTTAACCAATAAATACAATACGCAAGTTTATTACTGTTGCTGTAACGTAGAGTATCTTAATAAAATCATATGCATTTCAAGCATCACAAACAAGTGAAATAATGACTCATAAAGAAACATACGTATCACGCAAATAACAAAAAAACATTTTGAGTTCAAACCACCAACTTTAACATTGAAATTTGCATTAAAAAACTCTTTCCACAAATCGAATGTGGTCTTTTTTAAACGTTTTTAAGCACTAACGCTTTTTGACAAGAGTTATCTAACAATGATTTTAAAAGTAACATATAGAGTGCATTGTAATAAGATTGCATTGCATTATAAGATGTAAAGGAAAATTATACAGGGTGGCAAAAAGGTCTAGAAACGGATGGATATCTTTTAAACTAAATCCGTTAAACTAGTCCTATTAAAACATTTCATATCAACTTATATGTATAGAAACTACTTTTTGCAAGCATTACCATTTTTTGACCTCTACCAGGGTACGACCCCATGAGGAGTAGGTAGATAATCTTTAATGTAAGCATTGGTTGATATGCAAATAATTTTAAAGGGCTTGTCAAGTGGAGTTCATTGCCTCAAACATTAGCTCAACATTAGCTCAAAAGACATTAGCTAGAGAGTTGAAACTGACTCCTCGTGGTCCACCCCATCAGAGATTGAAATTCAACCAGCGAATAGACTAAAATTATTCTAAATTCAAAACAAATTTACCGGGTTTCAGCTCTCTAGCTAGCTAATTTTGAGGTCAAAAAATGGTAATGCTTGCAAAAAGTAGTTTTCATACATATAATTTGATGTGAAAGGATTGAATTTTCTAATGGATTTAGCAAAAAAAAATTATCCGTTTCCAGACTGTTTTGTCACCTTGTATAAGAAATACCTAGAGCCTCTAAAGACAAACCTGCATGGAAGTTCTGTGGCTACTAACCTGCTTCTCACTGTCTTTACTGTATTCATAATTTACAAATTGCCATATGCTCTGCCGACTTCTTGTTTATGTTTTAATTTAATTAATTGTTTTTCTGACTTAATACCAAAAAGTTGTTCAATATTTTATCATCTCATACTTTACTTACTTTATTTCGTTTGATAACTTTTTGGCACAATTAGTTCTATAGATTTCGACCTAACTGATTGTGCCCAAAAGAGTTCAATAAACTAATAGCTGAAATTTGATCCTGTAGGTTAACCCATAAATACTTGAGAAGCATCAACCCTCTTTTTAGGTTTTAACAAATTTAGTTTTACAAAAATTACATTTGCAATAATATTACGTTGGTTTTTACCATTTGTATAATATTAAATACACAATAAGAAGACACCTGTGCTTAAATCATATGAACCAGATAATAATGTCGTTATTAAAGCCACTTGGCAATATCACAACGCTGTTGAGTTAAGTAAGGGAAAACTTTTGGCAAGGTCTCAACTTCTATATTATAAGCAAGCAGCCTTTATAACATTATTACGTTTATTTAGGATTATTTACCATGGCAATTACAACAGAGTGGTTGTCTGGTGAAAATTGTATTTATTTTCATGATCATCTAAATTAGGCAAAATACAAATCAATTTAATAAAAAAAAACAATAAATTACTGTATTTCATCAAACGCTTTATTAAGAATTCCGAGGTATTTTAGTGTAATTTACAATAATACGACTTGAAATGTAACTACCATAACAGAACATAGAATGGAACATAACATAAAATGTGGGGCTGGACTGGTTTCCCCTAAAAGCGCTTTTTCGTGAAAAACTCCACCAGCGCAGATAACAAAAGTAAAATGGATTGATAACACTTGAAAATATTAGCTATTAGCTATTATCAACTGTTAAAAATCTGTTTTAACTGTTTATACCAACAGATTTGTCTTCAATGTTTTTGACAGTGCTCAAATCATTTTTGTTTTATTCAGCTTTAGAAGATTATTGTAAAAATAAGGGCAGTTTGTTTTAAACAACCACCCAACGAATAATCATCCATCACAAGATATATTTATGAATTAAAAACACAATCAATCTAACTTTGAATCAATGTAACAAAGAAGGATAACATATATTTTTTAAATAATTTTATTAGAACAAATTAAATTAGTAAAAAAAAATTTAAATAGCAGACAAAGTTCTAATTGTCAAATCTTGGTCTTCGGGTGTTGACCGCGTCGTTGAATAAGTTAAACTAGAGGCCGACGTTTCGGTTTATAAAGGTTTATAAAGTTTATAATAAAGGCAGTGACCGTGGAAGCTTATCATCTAGATTAAAGTTCTAATTATCTACATCATGTTAGTGACAACTGTCCTGTAATATCAGTATATTATAACTTATTTTACTTGTATTTACTTGAAATTGAAATCAGCCAATCGTCTAGATCTTTCTAATTTGTTTCAACAAATACTAGTATATAAACTACTAATTTCCAGTTGTTACTAATAATCCACCTTAAGGTATGCTATTAGACATATTCAAGAAACAAAATACCTTTAACCAATATATAAAATAAAATACAAATTACCGTTCATCTCCACGTAGCACCAGCTAAATACACTGTGGTGAAACTATAATAAACACCTTGTTTGCATGTGTTTATGCAAATTTATGTTGAACAAAAGCCTAATATCAAAGTCAGCGCGAGAGTTTCCGTTGTTAGAATAATTGGATCTCATGATCAGCTGTTGCCGCTTTTGATGTTTGTTCTGACAACAAACTTGTGTTGTTGATTGGTAATGGGTTGTGTAGCAATATTGTCAAGCAAAGCTAGTTGCTGAATCTATTGTTGTATCGTGACTCGCCTAATGGCAACTGTACCTGTGAATTAGTGATTCGTTTTATTCAGCATACTGTTTAAAAATTGAACCAGATTTTATATTTATATTTTGAAACTAAGAATTTTCTCGTACCTAGTGCTGATGAAATAGTGTTATAGTTTTAAAATTAATAACATAAGCTTTTAATATATATATATATATATATATATATATATATATATATATATATATATATATACAATAACCTCATACAATCAATGCTTCATAATGAAGTCTACAAAGATTGGGCTATTATTTCTTGTTTTTACATTTCCCTTGGGCTACGCCCCATGGGCTTCCAAAGTTTCAATGTTTACATTTTAGAAGAATGTAAATAATCAAATATAATCATTTGAAGTCAGCTGCAAATTATTTAATTTGACAGATTAAAGAGCAGAGTTTCATTATTAAGACTTACTGGTTCTGCTCCCGTGAGATTCTAAAGTTTTTTTTTTATTAATGTTTAGATTAGGATTGGAAATAGATGGATGTTTTAAATTAAAAGATAAAACACCGAGTAGGTCCTCTCATCCCACAAGAAGGTCGTGATCCTAGATACCCACAGATTTACATGTACGACGTTGAAACTGGAACCCAACAGCGCATGAAACAAAATGCAAACAAAAATTGTAATGCGGGAAATAGGGTTACACCTTCAAAACACCAACCCATTCGTCCAATCTTTAAGAACCGCAACAGAAATGTGTAGGCACGAGAGCTCCGAGGACACAAGCACAAGTGAGATTCTTATGTACATCATAAAAGACAAAGAAAGTGATCTACGCCGCTACAATGATGCTACATGTACAGATGTCGCAGCTATTTTTAAAGCTGACAATGGAGCACCACCTGGCCAAAGAAATCTTATAGTTTTTTCAAAAACAAATACTGTTAGACGTGTATCCGTTCTAGATCCGGCATTAGATCCCCGCATACCCTGTTCTGTTCCCAACCGGAGACTTTGGATGGGACCCCTCACTAAAACACTCCCAAAACAGAACAGAGCATAGAAACAATTTAACAATGCTAGAGTACGCGTCGTACCGGTTGGCATCAAGAGAGGTATTTAGCTTGCCGTATAGGTATGAAAAGCTGACTTTACAGTGGGTGGTTGACATGTATGTGCGAATAGAGGGCACCCGCTTACAGTACATACGAGACAACCAAAGCAGTCTAAGAGCGGATCTTTATTTAAAGCGGGGAGGTGTAGAAAGATCGAACACCAGTATTGGTAAACAAGTTATTTTGCCATCATCCTTTATTGGGTCTCCACGCAACATGCATCAGAACTTTCTCGACGCAATGGCCATTGTACAGAAATTTGGCAAACCTTCCTTATTTATTACCATGACATGCAACCCTAGGTGGGAAGAAATACAGAATAATCTTTCTCCGGGCGAACAGGCCAACTTCCGCCCGGACATTGTCGTTCGAGTGTTCCACTGTAAACTCGTAGAGTTAATGGATTGTATTCTCAAAAAAATTTTTGGAAAGGCAGCTGCGCTTATTTACACAATTGAGTTCCAAAAGCGTGGTTTACCTCATTGTCACATCCTTTTAACTCTCGATGATGAGGACAAAATCAGAAATACTGTTGACATTGATCACGTGGTCTCTGCCGAAATCCCAGATGAAGTATTAAATCCTGAACTACACAACCTGGTGAAAACACACATGATCCATGCGGTGCTCTAAATCCAAATGCACCTTGCATGACAAATGGGAAATGTAGCAAAACTTTCTAAAACATTTCTCAGAAGAAACAAAAGACGATGTCAATGGTTATTCTATTTACAAAAGACGAGACAATGGATTGAGTGTAGAAGTTAATGGAAAATCAGTAGACAATAGGTATGTTGTACCTTACAATATTTATCTGTTATTAAAGTTCAAATGCCACATAAATGTAGGAGTTTGTTCGACAGTAAAGAGTATCAAGTATGTTTACAAATACATACATAAAGGGTATGTCTGTGCAACCCTGGAGTTCTCCCGCACCACAGAAGATGAGTTTGTTTATGATGAAATCAAAAACTTTCTCAGCGGAAGATACGTTGGCTCGTCTGAAGCAGCATGGCGTATTTTCAGCTATGAGATGCATGATCAAACACATACGGTAATCCGACTTGACTGTCATTTACCCAATCAACAGACAGTTTTTTTTAAAGAAGGGAATGAAGAACAGATAGTGGGTGATCCTAAGAGAATTAAGCTTTAAGCTTTTTTCCAACTTAACGTAACAGATTTAAATTCCAGAGAACTTTTGAATACTGAAATACCTCACCACTATGTGTTGAATGACAAAGAAAAAAAGTAGTTACCAAGGAAGAGGGGGGGTGAAAGAATTGTAACAAGACTATACACAGTCTCTCCAAAAAATCAAGAGCTTTTTCATTTACAACTCCTCTTACTGCATGTTCAAGGTCCAACTTGCTTTCAAGATCTATTGAGGTTCAACGATGTTGTTTATGACTCCTTTTTGAAAGCAGCTCAAGCGAGAGGAATAGCATCCAATAACAACGAATGGGAGGAAACAATTAGGGAAGCTATCAGCGTTCAGTCGCCAGTTTCGACAGCTTTTTGGTTTAATTTGTGGACTAAACTTTCCAACAAATGCCTTGCAGCTATGGGAACAATTCAAGAACATGTGTGAGGATTTCTTAAACAGATTCAACGAAGAAGTTTCGTACAACCGAGGACTAATCGAAATCAACGAGATTCTCTTGACACACAACACCAACTGTGAAGAACAAGGACTTCCAATCGCATTATATGTAGCTGAGAGTTTCGTCGAATACGATGCAATGGAACAGAATGAACTTTTTCTCCATTCGTATATTAAGTCAAATGAAGAACAACGTGAAATTATCAATGCAGTTGTACATGCTGCTACTGCTGATGCCAAAGAAGATAACGCTTTTTGTCTAACGTCATACGCAGGATGTCGAAAGACATTTGTTCAAAAAACTATATTGTATAAACTCAGATCTTTGGGTCTGTCTTGCCTAGCATGTTCTTTTAGTGGGATTGCTGCAAGTTTACTTGAAGGTGGAAGAACTATGCACAACCTTTTTAAGCTGCCTATTCCCTTAACAGAAACTTCAGTATCATCTATAAAACCAAATAGTAAAGAAGAAAGAGAGTTATCTGAAGCTTCATTGATAATTATTGATGAGATTTCAATATGCCCTGTTTTAGCGTTAAACACAATAGATAGCCTTCTAAAAGAAATCGCGGAAGTGGGTGACAAACATAAACTTTTCGGGGAAAAACAATTTTACTATGCGGTGACTTTCGACAAACCCTGCCAGTTCTTCCACATTCATCGCGGACCACTATTGTAGAAAACTGTATAAAATCATTTACGCAGTGGTCAAGCATAAAGCAATTCAAATTAACAAAAAACATGCATGCTTTACAAGTTGAACTGGACTTTGTTAATTTCCTCCAGAAGCTTGGAGATGGATCTTTACCCATCCACAATGATCAAGAGTTTATAAAACCAAATAGTAAAGAAGAAAGAGAGTTATCTGAAGCTTCATTGATAATTATTGATGAGATTTCAATATGCCCTGTTTTAGCGTTAAACACAATAGATAGCCTTCTAAAAGAAATCGCGGAAGTGGGTGACAAACATAAACTTTTCGGGGGAAAACAATTTTACTATGCGGTGACTTTCGACAAACCCTGCCAGTTCTTCCACATTCATCGCGGACCACTATTGTAGAAAACTGTATAAAATCATTTACGCAGTGGTCAAGCATAAAGCAATTCAAATTAACAAAAAACATGCATGCTTTACAAGTTGAACTGGACTTTGTTAATTTCCTCCAGAAGCTTGGAGATGGATCTTTACCCATCCACAATGATCAAGAGTTGTTGTAAATAGTAACATTCAAGCAAATAAAGGCAAGGCATTAGGGAAAACGAGTTATATCAAGGATCAAATCAATACTAAAATTCAATACCGTCATGACAAGGTTCTAATGGGCAAGGAATGACCTGACATATGTCTGAAGAAGGCCCATTGAAAGGGACATTGCTGTTTGGGGACTCTTTGTTGATGTACTCTGGGGACAAATGTTCAAAAGTGGGGCTGTAGTTGATATGAATCCTGGGGCAAAAATATCACACATTAAAGAAACACTTATTAAATACAGTTCTGACCAACTTGATTCGATTTATCTGTTTGTGGGAACCAATGATTTTGTAACTAATTATAATGGTGAGCCTGGTTATAATGGAGGTTGGAGTAAAAAAGTTGCGCTGCACTCCATGGCTGACCTGCTGAGTGCGGCCAAGTCCGCCTTCCCTAGAGCTAGAATCCTTATGAAACATTTCCATATTCGGAGTGACGTGAGTTATCGAGCACTTTAACTTTTCAATGAACAACTATTTCTTATGTGCAACAACTTTGGAGTAGAGTTTGTCTATGCTTCTCGACTGATTTCCAAGCGCCATTTGGCTCGTGATGGTAGGCATTTATTTCGTCATGGAAATCATCTTCTTAGTGAGTTCCTGTGTCAAGCTATGATAAAGTGTCATGAAAACTGAGATTCACAAACAGTCGACGTAACTCCATATAATGATTCTGTAGTATCTGTCCTATCTAGTCTTCCAAGTTACCCGCAACCAATATCTCTGTCGGGATCGAGACAGGTCAACCCTCTCAAGTTTTAAATTTTCGCTCCCTGAATACTGGTTTCCAGGAGGTTTGTACGATTGTGGAGGGCTTTTAGTTTGATCTGCTGGGCATTACGGAATCGTGGTTATCACCTGAGGATTCCTCGAGCAATTGTGAGATTTCTGGTTACGATTTGATCCATAATGACAGAATTGGAAGAACATGGGGTGGCATGGCCTTGTGCTTAAAAAAATATTGAGCTTCTCTTCCATCCAACTTCACAATGTTGATTGCTCCATCGAATATATTTCTGGGGTCATAAATTGCAAGGATACAACCTTCCGCACCTTATTCTTCTCTTGGCTAATTGTTGTATGCTTTGTTTATAGATCAGGCCTCAGAGGTGGATTCCATCATACTACAGGGTGATTTCAATGTCAATCTGCTGGACATGAAAAACCTGATTCCAAGTATTTGCATCAATTCTCCAAGCTTTGAACCTCAATCAACTTGTCAAGGAGCCAACAAGTGTGACTGAAACCTCTTCTTCCCTTATAGATCTGATAATTGTAGAAAAGAATATTAAACTCAATTTTGGAATGATTGACACAGCGAAGATTCTTGATTATGCTGGGAGAAAAATTACGGATCACAATTTGGTTTTTTGTGATTTTCCATATTGTAGAAAGAAGAGCAAATGGAAATATGTAACTTACAGAAATCTGAAAACCCTTGATGCGGACCTCTTTACCGTGTTAGCGTCAAAGTCTGACTGGGATGAAATAGCTTCCCTCAAATAAGTTGATGAAGTTGTATAAGCACTGAATAAAAAATGTTTGTACATTTTCAACTCTTGTACACCAGTTATGAGAAAGAGTGTAACAAGGAAAAGGGTTCCATGGAGAGACGATCATATTTTGTCTCTAAAAAAAATTAAGAACGAGTGTCATAAAGCATTCTTAAGTTGTAGGAACGGCTCGACCAGATCTGCATATACTAAAGCAAGAAACGCATTAAACTCGGTCTTAAGAAGTGCAAAAAAGCGCTACTCCTCCAGTCAATTAAAGAATAAGGACCCAAAAGGTTTTCGGTCATCGTTGAGAAGCAATGGCATACTGGGCTTGAACGGAGAAAATTAGTGTACCTTCTCTCCTGAAGACTGTAATAGATTTTTCTCACAATGGGCAGCAAAGGATGTTTAGACAGGAGCAGGATTGAGTTATACACTGGGAACCCAAGTAGCCAAATGAAGACCAAATTCTCATTAAGTTTATTGGCAGAGAAAATAATCAGGGATGTCATGAACAGCATCACTACCCGAGCTGTTGGTGTGAATGGCATTTCTATTGATATGGTTAAATCGTTAAGTTATTACTGTGATTCTGCTATTTGTCATCTAAATTTGTAAATTTGTCCCCGACTACTGGAATTTTTCCCAGTGCCTGGAAACAAAGTATTCTAATTCCACTATTAAATGCTTAATGTGTTTCTGATTTCATACTGCTCTGTAAAATAATAAATAATAAACAATATTCAAGTCCCATTAAATTACGTAACCGAATGCAGAAGAAAACTAACAACTCAGTTGTTTGTCATCCGATTTTAACAAACAAGGTCTCATTTGATTTGGATTTAAATTCTCTACCTTTTTGATCTTAAAAACAATTTTCTTAATATTTAGGGTTTACATGAAATTTGACATAAAACATTTTAAATGGCCGCCAAATTGAAACGGCTTGAGATATTGGAACGAAACTTTGTAAGCTATTTTTACCAACTAAAATACACATTTACACAAATTTTGAGATTTATATCTTGAAAAATTCCCAAGTTACAAAATAATTCTTAAAAATCACAAACAGACCGACAAACAGAAATCTAGGCATCTTAGACTCATAATTATATGACATTTTATGTTTGTCTTAGCCCAAGGAACAAGTTCACAAAATATGTCCATACAATTTGGAAACTACCTGTATACCGAGTTTAGTTTTATTATCTCTAACGAAATGAGGTAGCCTAAGTAGGAAGTAATGGATATGTGAGTGGGAAAAATTTGAAGAACACACCG